AGAATTGGACTCCTGCCTCATAATCTTAAACTAGGCTTTGATTTCAGTTCCTCGATCCTAGAAGGTACAGTTTGTTTTATTTCTAGAAAATGACTTCTTACCGTAACTTATACACATATATTTTTGCCAACTGTGTAATTTGGTTTCTGAGTTACCTCAGATAGGTATACATGCCTTAATAACAACATTGTTAAGCTCTGGCAAAAGCTTCTACATTCGTGGTTGGTCGGTCGGTCGGTCCGTCGGTTGGTAGGTCTGTCCCCGGGAAACTGACCAATAATGAGCCCCCTAAGTTTCCCATAAAATAACAAATTTTAATTTTCCAATAAAAGCTAACACAATAAATGAAATAGTTCACAAACAATGTTTTTAACAATTCGTGAAGTTGTGTATGAACATTTTGTCAATGGAGGCAAGATATGTACAGTAATGTTATGGTCACGTGGTATGTCATATGGTACATAGCGCTATATTTTATGGGAAACTTAAGGGGCCTATTTGATCCTTCACTGTATGACCAAGGAGCCAGTTACTTATTGACACTCCATGAATATGTACATACTAGTACCGGCTACGTTACCGCAGACCTTGTCAGGCAAGGATAGATTTCAGGCAAGACTTTCATGGCAGACGGCCAGAGCTTATTGTACACTTGCGCTTGTTTGATAGAAATGAGAAAGCATCAAAAAATTATTAGTTCAATTTACAACAAAACTTTTTTCGTTTTATGTGTAATTTGGCCACTTATGTTTTCCTGGCTTTTCCTTTAAAAGATACACTGCATAATCAATGTCATAATGATGCTCTTATTGATAAACTGTATTAGGCTATCTTCTACGCAATCTTCTCCGCAAGCATAAAGATATGTCGCTACTTTTCATTTGGTAAACGTCTCAGCAAAAGATGCCTGGGGCCGATTTCACGAAACTCGTCTCACCTCAGGGATTAGGACGAGTCCCCACTCTAAGATCTATCTTAGCTAAAACGCGTCATAAAATATAATGAGACCGATATGACTTAAGCCATCTTAAGCAGGACGCATTAAAACTACGCATTAAACTTGATGACTGTTTTATGTTTGTTTTTACCGCTCGACGAAACAGTCGTTGAAAAGAAACGCGAGCGTGCATAGAACACGAACTTTAAAACTTTCGTCAGAAAAATGAAACTCTGCTAAATAAATTTCACATGCAACGTAGTTCTACACAAGATACGATAGAGCAGAGGCATAGCAAGGCCGTTTTTATTGGGGGTTTTCGGGTAAAAAGTTCGTGATAAGGGCATTCGTGCATCCGTGCTGAAATGTAGACTATTTTTTTTCTCCAGACGCGTGGCGTCCGTGGTGGTGGTAGTGGTGATTGGCTGGTACTAATAAAAAGGCACTTGAATAGAAAAAGCGCAGTCTTTACAAAATATTGGGGGTAAATGACATTATTAATGACATATTTTATCAATTCAGTTCATCTAAATCATAAAGTCAAGATATTTGTCAAAACAGATTAACGTTGTTTCAGCTTTTCCAAATAACAGCAACACAACTCTCCAAAGTGTTTGAGACGCACATTTTATTAAAGCTTGTTTCATCATCTTTCATTTTCTGTTCAATAGTTTGGGGATTAAACAATGACTTTTCGGAGAACATTCTATCCAAATATAACTACCCCTAAAAGAAGTCATTTAGCCCATCATCATGCAGCAAAATGATGCCTGCGCTCCATTGAAAAATAGAGCAATTGTAGGGCAAAATTTCAACACTGTTCAGTTTTGGGGGTTTTCTGTCTAAATTGCGGATCCAACAATTTGCTCATCGAAAACTCTTGTGAGGAACGTTGCTCAGTGACCTACTGACATGTACGGCAGCAACAAATGACAAAGACAAGAAAATCTAGGACATGCAACAAGATATCCAAAATTCTTAAAACTATTGTTGGTGCCAATAATGCTGTGACATGACGTTTGCACCTAAAAATGACATCGCACATTTTTACAAACCAAAAAGGTACCCTTGAAAATGGCAAAATAAAAATGAAATCAAGATTGAGCGGCACATAAATTTACATTTTCAAAGACTGGATCATTTTTTGTTTTACTATACAAGGGCCCTTTAAATTTACTTACGAAGAGAATACGTGTTAAAATGACCGAGAAAGAAATGTCAAAAACTGCAATGACCCTTGATTCCCGTGTAACGTGTCAAGAGAAACAAACAATAAATTTACGTATAGAAACAAGGCAATAAGAAAATGACTCTACACTCTAAAAAGTTCCGGGTCAGACTGATTCATTTCCGGTCATTTTGATCGGGAAACTTTGGCAAAAGTGTCAATTTTTCTCTGAAAAAGGTCAGGCCAACTACAACCAAGTTTCAGGGTCAAATGACCTTAGTTTGGGTTCTCTGACCTGACAATTAAGCAGCCGTGTGGATGCAAAGGCCTAAGCGTCGCCATTGCTAAACAAAGTAAATCTGAAGAAATTACTTCCGGTCAGTGAAAAAATTCCCCGTCATCAATGCCGAAACGTCGATACTGGTTACTGGTAAAGCTGACCTTTAAGTCGGGAAGAAATCGTTCGGAAATGTTCCCAAATCAATGTTTTTATCTCAATTTCTAGGAATCTCCTCAAGTTGTTATTTCACGAGTAGTTGAACACTTATACATATCATCTAAGTATATTCCGAATGTCAGCCTAATCTGTTGTTGCAAACGCTTGTGTTACACCTTGAACTATAAATATCTCCAAGGAAAATTTCGACGAGGATTTTTTGCATACCAAACCCAAGTGCATGGTTTTCCGATTGGCCGATTTTGGCCCGCTCGACAATGACGAAGCGCATATTAGCATATTCATTATCGTCACTCGGCGTGACTTCGCGTGGGTCTCGGTACTCGACCAAAAAGGCAAAAAGGCAACAATGACCGTAATTTACAATGAACGCTAAAACACGTCACAAACGTTGACGTTGAAATAACAAAGTACACGATATAAATTCATATAACTGTACTTTTCATCTCGGTATCAAATCAGGATGCAGGGAAGAAAGTTTACCACCTGGGGGTTATTATTAGACGAGGTTGGACTTCGGTAAGCCTGAAAATGAGGTTGTTACATTTAGACGAATGAAATATGGACTCATTGGTTTGACTGCGCATGCCTATCATAAGACAGTGACAGGACACGTGTAAAGGTTCAGTCCATATGACGGGAAAGGTACCAATTCCAAAAGAGTCTATACATTTCAGATGACACCGGCAAGTTTCCAGAACAAAAATGGCAGGGGACAGGGTTACCTCAGGACCTGAAAGAGGCCTAGCAAAGTCATTTATATTGGGGAAGGGGTACAACTTTCGTGAAAAGGGCACTCGCAGATCCGTGTTACAATGTAGACAGGTTTTTTCTTCAGACACGCTGGTACCATCTTCCAATGGGGGCGCTGTTCAAACAGGACGATCACGCACACTATCGGGCAATAGATGGCGCTCTTCATAGCGTTACAAGGGTGCACTGAACCAATTCAAGCCCCATTGAAAACAGTGTAAAATCAACAAAGTTCAGGGCCAAATAACATGCAAGCCGACATCACTGGGGTTTCTCAAACAAAAATTAAATCATTGTCTTGTACTTCATCTTTTCATTTCTTTTCAATTTTGGGTAGATTAGCCTATTACATTTTTAAATATTCACACCAAAACAAAATCACCTCCCGAAAAGTGATAGTTCCCAAGCCTGCATGTAGCCGTTTTACAAGTGGCATCCTTCCACTTTCTCAGGCAAATAGGACCCATTTTTCAACCGTAATTTTATCAAGCCTGCCCTCAGATGGAAGCCCAAAAAACAGGGAGTTGATCCTTGGCTACATTTACACAATTCCACCGTTTTTTAAAGCCAAACGGTCTCCGTTTTCAAAAGAAACTGTGGGGTCACTTTTTATGCTAATCAGCTTGAGTAGAAATTCTCACTTGAATTAGTTCACTGCACCCACAATTGCGGCGGTCGTGCTAATTTCGTGAACGGCACTAGTAAGAGGCCGCTGGTATAAAAATGCAGCTTGTTTTGTTGTTTGCAAGGGCACTTGTTTAAAACAAAAGGGCACTAAAAAGGCACTTTTTTTAAATGTGGAGGTGGGTTAAAAAGCTGTGAAAAGGGGCACTCGATTGTAAAAGGGCAGTTCAAACAGGTTGGGGAATTCCCCCCCCCCCCCCGGTGCGCTTCTGCCTTGAATCACCTTTGTATCGGAAGAAATTAGCGAATACTATTCAGATTTGGCAAACCAAATGAAATACAACCACCCTGAGGTGCAAGAAAAAGTCACAATTGGTTGTGACTTTTCAACTGAAAAAGTCACAATTGGTTGATATCAAAGAGTCTATCAGAAGGACACGAATTCATAAAGACTTATCAGATACACACGTAATTGTCGTACCAACGAGAACTGACAAGATATAATTTGCAACCAATCACCAACAATATAGATTTTTTCAATTTAAAATTAACCCAAAAGAAAAAAAAAAGGAAAGCGTACAAATTGTTTAAAAATTGTTGTTTTCCCTCCACATTAAAGTTAACGCTCAATGCTTTGCAATTACCACTTGGGGTATTCCAACGTAACAGTTCAAGTAACACACACTAGCAAAGAAAATGAATAATTTTGCTCCCGATCGAGAAGTACTCGTAAAATTGGTTCATTATTCCCTTTGGAATATATTTGATAAGATGAGGTTGTTATACGCATTATGAGTGATTTCATGGTCCACATAAAATACATAATTTGATCAGGGAAGTAATTTGTTTGGGATACAGCATTATTTCAACATCGGTATTTATTTCTTTTACTGAAGTTTAATAAAAGAATCTAAAAATTAATGTGGCCTGACGTTGCGAACTTAGCCAGTTCTTCTTCAGACGCTAAAACGGAAATGGAAATTTACGGAAATTTAATAAAAGAAGTTAAAGAAGAGGGTTTTAACCGATTTAGGGGAAGCTTATAGAATAATTATACGTACGAGACATTTTACAACTTTGGTATTAATTGTAATTGTATAACAGCACTGGATTTATATTGATCTTACAAGTCTAAGCCATTGCCTTACATTGAACCTGTACCTACATAGGGCCTTAACGTTATTTTTACTTGAGCATATATAAAACATAAAGCGCTTTCCAAATTAGCATAAAATTGGGCCTAAAATCAACGAAACAAAGTAATTCAGTTATAAGAAGAATACCCACAACCACAAAATGTATTAAACTGATTCAGAATCCGTCGGGCCACATGTCGGGTTCTGTGAAAAAAAAATGAAATACGAAAGAAAGAAACAACTGATTTAGAAGTTTAAAACGGACATCACGATTGCAGAAATTTACAAAGACAGGGGAAAGATGCAAAATCAGCAGTCGTGCTAAGAATCCCTTTTGATGAAAAGCACGGTTACAAAAATGGTGATCTAAAATATCAGGATCTCCTCAGGAAAAATAAAAGACAAAATTGAGAATCGTGGCAATATATCCTTTGCATTGCAACCGGCTTTGAGGTGCGTGTTTTTGTTCCGCTTGGCTACGCGTGAGTAGACCCCGTTGAGTTGCCCATTTATTTCCTTTGCCCATTTAGTGCCTTTGCCCATTTATTTCCTTTGTCCATTTATTACCTTTGCCCATTAATTCCTTTGCCCATTTAGTACCTTTGCCCATTAAGTACCTTTGCCCATTCATTTTTCGCCCATTTATTACTGAAAAACGACGATTGCTGTTGAATACAAGGGTTTTCACGCGTAGGGATAACTGCAATAATGATAGAAACACGCATGGACATTGCTTCATTTCTTCTTTGTTTTTGCATATTCAAATGATTGTAGCGCAAAGTGTTGCTTAAATTCACGTATATGCGCAGCCTCGTCCACACGGCGAATTGTAGTATGCTTCCATTAGCACAATGGAAAGGGCACGGCCCAATTTCATGACGCTGCCAAGCACACGATTATCTGCTTACGAGCCTCTTTTTGTTTCATGGTGACCGCAAGCGGTAAGCACAGCAAAGGCCACGCTTACCTCAGAGGAAAAAAAGTTGCTTAAGTCAATATCCATGAGCCGCAACCGTATAGTTACCACATCCATGCCACAAAATAGTATTTTAATAATTATATCGTAGTTCTATGTGCACAATATTGTGCTCTAGTAAGCACGACCTATAGCAGTGTGGTTGGCGAAAGCTAATGTATTCCTGTGTATATGTATTTAATGCTTTCAATTTTAAGTTCCCCTTTGCCTGATGATAAAACAGTAAATGTCACCAAGCAACGTGCTGTTTTTATTTTAAAGGGGTAATGTTCAATTTTCATTTAATCGTTTTTAAGTGTCTTTTAATGCCTTTTTTGTTTTGATGCTAATGCAGATTTCTATATTCATAAGCAAAAGTGTGATGTCATATCAGGCAGAAACTTCCAATGTTGAAATTAGTTTGCGCATTAAGTTGCCCGAATTTTAGATATTTTGCAGTGGTAAACTTTCTTTTCTTTAGTGATTCGTTGTTGAGTCAGTTCATAACAGTAAGCCAATGAGCAAACTTTTCTCACAAAAGTTTACAATGAGCACATTTTGGGTACACAATTTCAACAAAATAGCACCTAATATGAACAGTGTCTTACTGAAATGACATCACGGCAACAGCGCCCTCAGTTGTCTGGAATAGCATAGACAGTTTTAAATGTTTACAGAATTATAAGTGCTCTTTTCAGTAATATTAACCAAAAGGGGATGTCAGTTATTTTTTTTAATAAACTTACGAGGATTAGAAAATAGCACAAAATTAGCTCCCAAAAATTGCATTTCATGGGCCCTATTAAATTGATCACCAGAGGTTTTGACACATGGAGTGCCTGTGACAAAGATGACTTTCAGTGAAAAAGAATATATAAATCACTTGATACCTTCACTTACCGTCTTAATGGCGATACTCGATCGGTATATTTCTCTTAATGTTAAATAGTGAAAAACTCCAAAGACTGAATCGCTTATAAAAACCACTCCCAAAGACTGAAAACCACTCCAAAAGTTGTTTGATATATTGAGATCAGGAAAGCGTAACAGAGTAATCAGAAACAAAACAGAAAGATTCAGGAGCAGTGTGTATCCTACTGCAATAAGGGAACTGAATGGAATTAAGTAATCTTACAGTGCAATCGCTTAATCTTTTATGACCTTTGACTTTTTGATGAGTTATTTTATAATTAAATTAATCATGTGGTTGTTTAATGTTTTAAATATAAAGTTCAAAATGTAATTTAAAATTTTTTTTTTTAGGGGATCAGGGGACTGAATGGAATAAGGTCACCTCACAGTGTAATTATTCTTTCGTCTTGTTAACGACTTTTGGTTTTTTTAGGGAGATTTTTGAGGGGAATTTATGTAAAGTATGTGGTATTTTAATGTTTGTAATATAAAGTTTAAATGTATTTTAATGTTTTTTGAGCACGAGAAATCACGACACTTTCCATTGTATACATTGTATATAAAAAGCAAAAAAAAAACAAATCAATCAATCAATCAATTAAAAGGGTAAAATTTTCACTCTTTCGAGGAGCCATAAGGGACTAGTCGAAACAAAGAGTGGTCCCTTATATGGCTACTCGAAAGAGTAGGAAATTTCACTCTTTTGGAGTGGTTTTTATAAGAGATTCACTATTTTGGACAGTAAGTTGTTCACTCTTACATTTAGTGATTAAAAAGGAAGGCATTGGCGTCGGGCCGTATTGCAGTACGTTCCCGCTGGACACCCTGCAGAACATGCTGTAAAAAATATGGGACATATTTAATCGTGAAATAAACCATGGGAAAAAATTATGTTTGACAATTTGTTGAATAGAGGAATTTGACCGAAGTGGCATTGAACCAGTCAGTTTGGTGAACTGAGCTTTAGGATCTAAGAGCACACAGGCAGACAATTACAAACAAGTGACACGTGCAAAACAGGGAATCGCTCATACACAATATTCTGACCAGTAGCTATAAATTGTCAGTGTAAAAATAGCAATTCAACCTGCGATGCAAATCTAACACCATGCCGTGATATCTTTATAGGACATCTCGTCTTAAAGTTTTACACCAGTGGCCCTGCCTAAAACCGTGTTAAAATCTGTTTTGCATTGTTCTTTGAAAATATTTTTTAATAAAAATTGGAAAAATAGCTTATTCCTATAGCTTATTGACATTACAATTATTTTTGTTCTTTTTGACTCCTGATTTGCCGCTTTCGTTTCTCTCGTACCGAAGACCATGCACAAAATTCATGAAGAAATGGACTTACATGTGTAGCGACCTTCCAGTTGCTCCAGCAGTTCCATCTCACGCTCTGCGTGGAATTAATTGATAGGAACAAACATTGTATAAGAATGTGATATTGAGTCATTGGTTGAGTAATATTCATGTGACGTTCTTCAGAAGTTGGTACATTGAGACCACTGTATTCCTATGAAAGGCCCTAGAGTTATAAAACGAGGCCCGCACTGCTCTACTTTGCGTAAAACCAAGGCCGCGCATCTTGCCTGCTTTCGCGATTATCGTGTAAAGGTTCCAATGATGCATCTATGACACATGTTTGGTTCCAATTGGACTTCAACTGTTCAAATGAGATCACTTTTACATTTTCGGCCTATTTTACAACTTGACCTCAGACGACCTTTGACCTTGGTATGTGACCTTTGACATCACCATCATATGAATATTGCCATGTTGCTTTATTATGATCCAAGTTTGGCTCCAATTGGACTTCAACTGTTCATATATGAGATCAGTTTCACATTTTCAACCTTTTTTACAACTTGACCTCAGATGACCTTTGAACTTGGTGTGTGACCTTTGACATCATTATCATATGATAGTTCCCATCTTGAAAATATATGATTTAAGTTTGATTTCAATGGGACTTCAACAAATTGCCACATTCATACTACTTACAGTACATACTACATACGAACAGACATGGTGATTGCATAAAATCAGGCACATGTTTAACTGTCAAACTATGGGGAAAATGATGTCCGACAATTGGTTGAATAGACGAATTTGACTGAAGTAGCATTGAACCAGTCAGCTTGGCGAACTTAGCTTGAGGATCTAGGAGCACACAGGCAGAAAATTACAAACAATTAATTGTGTTATGCCCGACTCCTAGTTTTCGCCGCATCTGTTTATCTTTACTGAAAAGCATGCATAAAGTTAACTGAGAAATTGACTTACCTATACGAGCTTCCATTTCATCCATCAGTGTCATCTCACGCTCTACGTGGTATGATAGGAACAAAAATTATATAAGAATGTGACTTTTTATTGGTTGAGTAATATTCACGCGACGTACTGCAGAAGTTGGTGCATGATGACCTCAGTGTGTATTTAGTCGTTAACCTGTATTGAATCCTGAACCTGTGAAAGGCCCTAGAGTTTTGAAGCGAGGACCGCAATGCTCTTCAATGAGTAGAGGATTGAAATAAAGCAAGGTCTCTGCCATACACAATAATGCTCAGTGCAATGAGCCTCGGATTGGCTGCTGATGTAGACACCGTCCTTACTGCACTTACTTTCAGCGTCCTTTGCAGGAAAGGCATCTACTGCAGATCAGAAAAGGCCACAGCCAGACACACCAAAAGCATCACAATGGTAAAGGTTTTCATCTTGCCTAACAAACTGGGGAAAAAAAGAAAATCATTTGTAGCTTTTTGCTATCATGTCAGAATCTTGGAAACAAAACAATCAATAAACTAAATTTAACGTGAAAGAACGTGCTGAAGTTTTGCTAATTAAGGCATATATAATTTCAACGGAGAGCTGCACTTACGTTAACGTTGAAGTGGATATCTGTATTCTCTCACTGACTTCTCTTGGTTGTATGTTGATCGAAGGTATGAGGTGTGTCGAAGTGATAGCTCCACTGACGGTGACTCCACGATTACCCAATAGGAATTCAGAGGAAAGTTGGGATGCTCCACTATGCAGAAGGGATATTTTTTCATAATGTTCCATCATTGGCAAAGTGCCAATTCTCTTTTTGATTTCCTGGTCATTCCTTTTTATGTAGGCTTATAATCTATACTGGGATAGCTTAGCGCTTAAGTAGTTTATTCGTGTGCTGTCATCGGTTTTGGAAGTCCGTCTGCGGTGTTTTTATTTGCAGCAAACATCGTCTATGCCATGATTATTCAGCTGGCTCGATGTTTATTCATAAGAAAAAAATAATGACGTCACAGTTGCTATCACTCAGTCAGCATTGCAAAGAACGACTTTCGTCAAGCTGCCACAGTGGCCAAGTGGAATGAACTATGGATAGCAAAATCTGTGTTTGGAGCCACATACGTGCATTTTCATCGAATAATTCTTGGCCACTTTACATTTAATTTTAGAGCAAAAGCTTATCAGCCCGTGTACTTCAGAACGACAATCATAAATTCAATACATACATGTACATGTACATGCTGCTCAACAGCGTGGAACATGAAAGTCAGAAAGAGACGCCAACACTTGAAAACTGTTCCAGTTGTGTGCGTGTGTTTAACGGCACACTGTGGTATTTTTGTAGGCCACCTTTTTTTCGCAGGCCCTTATATGCATAGTGCCTACTGGGTAACTGGGCATGGGACTAAGTCGTTGATTGGTCAATTTGGATGCCCTGTTTTTGTAATACAATAACGGCAACTTCGCTCCCAGGGTATCGAGCAGTACGCTCCCACCACTACCTGCTGTCTCACCCTGGTATAGGATCATTTGTACATTATTTGCATCACAAAGATAGTAAGTGGTCATGTAACTTTGTTTGACTTTGAACGACACTGTCGGGACGTATCCGCACGCACGGTGTGCCTTGCATGGGTCTTTCGTAGTGTTGTCGTATTACGAAACCGTGTGAGCCAAATTGGCCAATCAACAGCTAGCACATTTCTGATCGAAATGACGTCACAGTTTATAAAGTCGACTCCGATTGGCCAGCGCGTCGGGAATCATAAAATTGTATTTTTGTTGGGCTTATATCGTGAGTTGTGCATACAAACTCTAAAAGTTTAAACTGAACCGGGAAAGTCAGTGCATATCATAACGACCAAAATTGTAAATCTGCAAGTTGGCTGAAAACAGAATTGTGGCGACAACAAACCAGGTTTTGAAATGAGGTCAATTTACAGAGAAAAAAACAGAGCTATATGCTTTAGAATTCTGACAACAAAGTCCCATCGCTCACCCTGGCAAATTGTGTTCGTAGACTCACTCACTACCAATATGCCCATGTGTCCCTCTGTATTTTTATATGATTCCCCAATAGGTGATTTATGAACTGCGACTACGAGGTGTTCATTAACCCCAGGGACAATAATCTGAAACGAAAGACGCCGGCGATCGATTTTACCCAGGGCTTAGTTCAAAGGGTTATGCGATCAGCAAACAAAATATATCAGGCAACAAAACCAAGCATTACCCCAGACAGGATATCTGCAAAGTTGTTTGGGAGCTTTCACATCAGTAAATAGGCAATCGAATTTTCACTTTTGATTTGATTGCACTTTTGCACGCAATCTAGCTGCAAGCGAAGCTGGCAAGCTTGCGGCAAGCTTGCGTTTGTACTTGCTTCATGGGAAATCAAGCTTAACTTTCTAGGGTAGGTTGTTCGCAACAAACAGGCTGGGGCTGGTAGCCAGGGTTTTGTAGCCTATGGAATAGCCATTCCGGCAGAACTAAAGTCACCCTCAAAGGATTTTAAAATAATCTTGCAATGTAGCAAAACATAATTCCCCATTACATCATTGACTTTAATTTTGCAACATGAATTTCTATGGCCGTACATATTTGTATTAATGTGTTGCATGAAAATCTTTTTTGTTTTGTTTAATAAACTACAAGATGGAATTTTGCGTCGGGGTGATGTAAATCAAATTAGGTTTTTGCCCTTCACCGACGTATGAACACTGCATACTCAGTGTGTTACCTCCCGGTGAACGTTGAAACAAAACCACTCGGGTGGGACTCGAGCTCACGACCTCCTGCTTTCTAGTGTTAGTAGACGTCTTACCACTAAGCTAACGCGCTAACGGGGTCGGTTGGCTGATTCGAATCTGATGTACGAGTGTTTTTTGGAAGAATTTGAAATTTGGGCAACGTCACACTTTTGTCCCCAAGTTCATGGAATGACCCATATAACGACCAGCATTGCAAATCCGGCAGTATGGCTTTAAATATAATTCCGACAACTACAAGTTCCATCGCCCGCGCTCAAAGGGCAACTAAGTTTTTGTTGGTAGACTGTAGAATACCCACAATGCCTCTTTTGTCCCTCTGCATTTTTATTTGATTCGCCAATGGGTTATTTACGAAGTGTTCTTTATCCCCAGGGTTCAGCTAAAAGGATCCTAGTAGCCTCCCTGCATGTCAAATTCAATTGTCTGTTCACGTTTGTGCAAGCTCCCAAACAGCTTTTCAGAAATCCTGTCTGGGGTGTACATGTACTTTGTTTTGCTGCGCTGCTATTGCATTATTTTATTTGCTGTTTAATCGTCCGAAGTCAGATATGCCCTACATATTATTTTTTTTCACAGCATAAACACTTAACATATAGACTTGGAGCTTGAAAAGTTTGCGTTTTAAAGATTAAAGTTGATAATTAAATAACGATAAAAGGGTATTAAAGTTCGACTTCGTAAAGGTCAACATGCAGAGGTCAATTATAAAACTTTCCCAGATCTGATCATCACATATTGTATGAAGACCTGTGACGTAGGCCTGCATCATAAGAAAGTGGGATTTTCAAGAAAAATAGGTATTCAGAATTCTGTTCAAGATCAACCTTCTCACTTTTTAAGGCACTTCATTAACTCGATACTCTACATGCAGAACATAATACACCTTCGTAATGTGAGGCCTGGTCTACGGTTCTCAGCTCTCACACTCCATGCATGTACCCATATCCCGCCTTGAAAGTAGTGTTGGTGTTTTTGCTGGTCCCAGAGTGCCAGCCTATATAGAGTCCTCTTTGTAAACCATCTACTTACTGTCACTTGTGTATTAGATTGATATACTTATCTCACTACACTGACTGTCACTTGTGACTTTAATACACAGGTCTGTGACTAGATATACGAGGCCTATTCGTGCATGTGATGTAAACCTACGCACCACGTGCCTTAGGCTGGTGTCTTGTAATGTTTCATGTACTTTTGCGAAACATTGTGTAGACACCAAAAAAGTCAGGTCTCCACACAGACGGCGGATTTCGGATCTTTCATTTCTTTCATGTTTATACTATACTACTACGGAAGCTTATGCTGTTCACCTTTTTAAGGCCATTTTGTATCAGTGGAATGTATGACCACTTGCCTTGTCGTGTTAAAATTGGGATGCTGGAGACTTTTTAAAAAGACTCTGAAGCAGGACCGAGGACAATTGCATCTTGTAGTTTACTCCAAACATTGATGGTGGAACCTCCCTAGCCTTTAATGTAGCAATCCTTTGAAATTGTCGTCTGCGGTAGACAGAATGCATTGTGGGCCTCATAATCTTACTCAAATTAAATTAGGAAATCGTGCCGTTTCCAGGGTAGGTTCCAGGCCGCGTCCCGTGTAATATTAACCCATTCTCACCGTCCCGGGTTTGCTTCTTTGATGCAGTATCCCGATTTCGGGTTTTTTTTTTTAAATCTCCATCCCGTTGCAATACCATACAGCCCTACTACGCCACTGATGTGGCAACGAAACCTTGTCACCTTGAAGTATAAAATGCCGGTATTTTTTATTGGGCTTAATTATATCGTGAGTTCAGCATACAAACTGAACCAGAAAAGTCAGCGCATATCGATCATAACGACCAAAATATAAAATCTGCCAGTATGGCTGAAAATAGAATTGTTGCAGCAACACGCCAAATTTTGAAATGAGGTCAGTTTACAGAGAAAATAGCAGAGGTATATATGCTGTGGAATTCCGACAACAAAGTCCCATCACAAACGCTCGCAAGTTTTTGTTAGTAGACTGTAGAATACCCACAATGCCTTCTTTGTCCCTCTGTATTTTTTTATATGCATGGTTCACCAATGGGTTATTTAATTACGAGGTGTTCTTTAACCCCAGGGTTCAGCTAAAAGAATTTAGGCAGAGTAGCAACTGTGCATTTCAACTTCCAATTGCCTATTCACTGATGTGGAAGCTCCCAAACAGCTTTCCAGACATCCGGTCTGGGGTATATGTGACCGGCCAGACTTAAATTCCTGTAATTATGCTGCCAGGTCCCGTCTGTAAAATATTTCTTTGTCGATGTCTTATATTTTTAGCATAAACAGCGATGCGAAAGTTGTCGAAGCATTGCGAGCACCCTCTTGTGTTTTCTGTTGAATAGAGCATACAGAGTTGCGTAACAATTTGCATATGACATGCAGTGCGAAAAAAGCCTTTTATTCCGTGCAGTGTCTCAAAAGCATAGGGCTTCGGACGCACATTCCTTGAATTTTTCGCTAGTTTTCTTGGAGAGTAAGCAAGCATGGGTAGGTCACTTGACTGCTTGTCGTTGCTGCTGCCAGCCACACCTTATTGCGAGCCAGCTTGTCTATATTTTGCTGTGTTTCTCACGTGGTTTTGTCATGGTTA